TCCTATAGATCTATTTTACAGCAGGCAGATATGACAGTATATCAAGGTCTATCAAAATTCTTTCATCTTTACTACCCTCTTTTACTAGGCATCATTTTCCCATTTTACAAAATACCACTTACTGTTTACTCCACATACATTATAGTATTTACACAACGACAAGTGACTAAGTCGTAAACATCAATCATTAACATTACAAAATCCTATCCGTCTTCAAAAGTTTCGATCTCTTCTTCCTCATCGATCACCGTATAAAAACGTGTATAGTGGGTACGCCTATATATGACATATATAGCACTAAGGTCCTCAATAATTTCGGCATGTCTGGTAATTCGGACAATTTTAGTCTCTTGCGGTGGCATCTACAGTATAAAATTCAAAATTTGAACCATAAAGTTCAGTAAATATGATGATGCAATGATACATTTCAAACATATATAAGCCTAAATCCCTATTATAGTGTACCGTATGAACTCAGAATAACATGGCCTTTTCTCTGCACACGAAACAATGTAAACGCATCCATCGTTGCCCACTGAGACTCAGGATGCCACATCATTATATCATATATACAAATTCAAGGTCTGTCCTACATATATACAGCGCTCAAGGTTCCTATATGCAGTCCCAAGGCCACAAAGGGACCTCCTGGCACTGCCTGTATACAGGTGTCGGATTCCCAATACCCTATCCTTGGCTACCCTTAATAACCATCAGGAGCTTTAAAGCGGTACAGTTATTCTGACACAATAGTACGGTACATCTATAATGGGATTCACATTCAAAATTTTCAACTGCAACTCAATCAGCATGGCGACACAAGTATGCATGACCTTGAAAACGTAATTATTCCTACGTTATCCAAATAAATTTAATGCACATGTAACATACTACCATGTCACATAGCAAAAGAAACAACCATATATTTGCACATATTAATGTATTTTGCACTGTAGTTGGAAAAAATCAGTATTTACATTTTTCGCGATTTTCTTGATCAATATCTACACAATAATCTCTACATTAATCATATCTTATCTTATTATTTTCCTATTATTACCTCTAGACTAAACTTATAAGATAATATATGTTATTTAATAGCATACCCCTAATAAAAATAATGATACTAACTTATTGTCAACTAGTAGTAATAATAGTAATATAAATGAAATCAACATTATCGTCATTAACTAAATTCCATAAAATTGTTACATGTACAATTAAAGTTAGCCAATACATTACCATATTACTTTCCCATTTCATGCTTTGATCCGCTTTTCATTTCAATTAACACAAGTATACATATACATCCATAACTATTAGTAAATTTCTTATTCAATTCATATTCTTCTTTACCACATTTCCATCATATCTTACCATTGATACTATGCATTATAACAATTTTTCTTCACATCTTATCACATAACTAGCTCGAAGTAATTTAAGTTTAAGCCTCAAGTGCTAATTGTTATCTTTCTTCCCATTTGAATTTACCACTTATATAATTATAGTAGTGGCACAAGTTCCATACCCATTATCAGGATGATATTAACAATTATTATACCAAGTTATTTTCTGTCCCTACTTACTTCTTCCTTACTCACTATGTTTTCCCCCAAAACTATTTTATACAATCCTTAATAATGTGAGTTAAGTAAACTAAAACCCAATATATCTTTAACTAGTTTATAAGTTTTAAAATTTCCAAAGTTAAGATTTTGAAATGAAAAAATTATAATTTATCTTCCTTGATGTTATTAATTAAACTTAACTATAATATTATCTTTTATTAATTACTAAAGAACCATAAAGCAACAAATTTAATTCCTATTTATAAACTAAATAAGTACTTAAAATAATTATCTAAATAAATAATTAACTAAAGAAAAATTTTAAATAATTAACTAAAGAAAAGACATACCTTGAGGAGTGAAAATAATGGGAAAAATGGTATGTCACATTTCATAACTATCCTCTATTTATAGTTGATGGTGGGAATTAAGTGTGCAATTTATGAAATTGCACATATAACCCCTATGATAGCATGCAATCATTTGATTGAATTTTAAAATTACATCTTTGGACCTTGGAATACGTATGCAATTATTTTTTTATTTATAAAATTGCACCTTTAACCATTGGGTAAATATGCAATTATGAAATTGCATTTTCAATCCCCATAATATTATTTTTAATTACAATCCCTAATAACATTTACTTTATCATTAAATTAAGTTCCTAAAATTAAAAACAAACTCCCTAAAATATTAAAAATCTTTGCTATAAAATTTTGGGATGTTACAAAATAAATGTTACAATATGTGCAACCATTTCATAAAAAAAAACCCCTTCCGAAGACGCGTAATGTGTTTACAAAACATTTCCGTCCTCATGGATATTTGTTGAAGGTATTAATGTCATCAACAATCTCCAAATGGAAAATGTCAATCGATATCTCCTTGTGATGACACCTGAGTACACTTTCGAGGATAAACACCAAACTCAGCTTCACCTTATCAAACATTTGATCGGATCCCCTAAATGCGTCTCCCAATTGCTCTAGAGCAACTGTCTTCTGTTCATAAAAATATTCATTCAAAAGCCTCCTATTCTTTGGAATATGGGCCATCGCTGCTTTTTCGTCCGTACATCACAATCCAGTGACGTGGGCAAACTCGAATATGGAGAACGTCGCGACCTTGTCTTCAAGATCAAAATGGAGGGTATCTCCGTCAACTGGTTTCAGTAGCTGACATAGCAGAGCATCGAACAGCTGTCCAGAAAACTGTACGTCGCCCAACGAATACAATGGTCATAAGCACGATCGACGTAATATGTTCACATGCTCGTCATCCAGCAAATCTAATGCTGAAGTGAAGTTAGCAAACTTACAGCTCGATATAACTTTACCAGGGATTTGTCTGACAGCGTAGTCCAGATAATATTTCATCCTGCAAAATTTCAAAAATTAGAACCTTGTGCAAGAAATAATTGATAAACCAAAATATTAGAAAAATAAACTAACACACTATTACTATATACAATAATCAACAGATAACGAAATAAAGGAAATGAACGTAAATTAATATTTTAATCATTTTTTAATTGCTTAGTTTAATTAATTTATTAATACTTAATTTGATATTTTTTTATGTTTAAATAATTATTTTAATTGTTTATGTAAATTACTTATTTAATATTTAATTATTTATTTTAATTGCTTAGTTTCATTTTTTTTTAATACTCAATTTCATTTTTTATGTTAATATTTTAATTGCTTAATTTGATTATTTTATTAATACTTAATTTAATTTTTTATTTAAATATTTAAGTAGTTATTTTAATTGTGTATATATATTATTTATTTAGTTACCTATTTTAATTACTAATTTTAATTATCTTGTAATACTTAATTCAATTTTTTATTCTAGCATTTAAATAATTATTTTAATTTTTTATGTATATTATATATTTAATTACCTATTTTAATTCCTAATTTATTTATTTAGTAATACTTAATTTAATTGTTTATTCTAACATTTAAATAATTTATTTTTATTGTTTATGTGTATTATATATTTAATTACCTATTTTAATTGCTTAATTTGATTATTTTATTAATACTCAATTTTATTATTTATATTAATATTTAATTACAAATTTTAATTGCTTAATTTGATTATTTTATTAATACTCAATTTTATTATTTATATTAATATTTAATTACAAATTTTAATTGCTTAATTTGATTATTTTATTAATACTCAATTTTATTATTTATATTAATATTTAATTACAAATTTTAATTGCTTAATTTGATTATTTTATTAATACTCAATTTTATTATTTATATTAATATTTAATTACAAATTTTAATTGCTTAATTTGATTATTTTATTAATAATTAATTTAATTTTTTATTTAAATATTTAAGTGGTTATCTTAATTGTTTATGTTTAATATTTATTTAATTACCTATTTTAATGACTAATTTTAACTGTTAATTTCATTATTTTTTAACACTCAATTAATTATTTATTTCAATATTTTAGTTGCAAATTTTAATTGCTTAATTCAATTTTTTGATTAATACTTAATTTAATTTTTTATTTAAAAGTTTCATTAGTTATTGTAATTGTTTATATATTTTTTAATTGCTAAATTTCGTTCCCTAATTTAATTATTTTTGTAACACTTAATTTAGTTGTTTATTCATTTAAATAATTATTTTAATTGTTTATGTATATTATATATTTATTATTTAATTATTTTTTTAATTACTAATATTAATGGCTTAATTTCATTTTTTATTAACACTCAATTTAATTATTTACGTTAATATTTTAATTACAAATTTTAATTGCTTAATTTGATTATTTGATTAATACTTAGTTTAATTTTTTATTTAAACATTTCATTTGTTATTTTAATTGTTTATGTATATTATATATTTAATTATTTATCTTAATTACTAATTTTAATTCCTTAGTTTCATTATTTTATTAATACTCAATTTCATTATTTATGTTAATATTTTAATTACAAATTTAAATTTTATATATATGTATAATTTATTTATTTATTGCTTGATTAATGCTTAATTTGATCGTTTATATATATTATTTGCTTAGTTTTTTTAATTCATCGTGTAAGTATATTATTTGCTTATAATAATTAAAACGGTTAAACATAACTAATTATTAAATTAAAAAAAATCCCAGACGGAGTTGGGCCGTCCGGACAGTTCAAGCCGGCCAGACTGTTGGGCCCTCTGATTTTTTAGAATGTTTATTTCTCATCTTTTATTGCAGATCAACTCCTCTAACATGATTTGATTGTATCCAATCAATTTTAAACCAGATTAAATCGTACTAGCTTGGTCAGTCCGCTCGTTTTGACACCAATCACACCTTGTACTTGTAGCATTTCTCATCTTTTATTGAAAATCAACTCCTCTAACATGATTTGATAGGATTCAATTGGTTTTCGACCTGATTAAATCGTACTAAACTCGGCCAGCCCCCTCGTTTTGACGCCAAACCCTTTTGCTTATTTTTACTATTTACCAAACATACCCTTAAAATCTCACGATTTTACATCAACGTTGGATTTTATTGTAAGGGTAAGATTAGTGGGTCCTCGGAAAATACAAAAAGAGGTAGAGAGAGAACTGTATACAAGTATCATTGATAGAGCATTAGAGAGAGAGTGTGTGTTCTGTGGGAAAACTGAGGACGGCGTGATACGCTGAAAATTCACAATTTTTATCCCCACTTTCACTATAAATTGTGTATCTAAAGATGGAGAGAGAAAGTCTGAATCCTTTTATGCGCTAATCGATATTGCATATGTACATTCTGAATCTGAATCCATTGCTTAATGAAGCTGTTGCTCCGATCTTTGTCTTCTTCGGACGGACTCTCCAATTCATAAAATCTACGCCGATCCGATCGATTTTGTAATCCTTTTGTTTTCTGATTTAATGAAGTGAGAGTAAAGGAGATTTTGTTTGTCTTTTGTATTTTAATTTGCATTTATTAGTGGATATTTTCGATCGTCGACTTTTGAAGGGAGAGAAAATGAACGGAGGTGATGATGGAGAGTCGGTGGCTTCTTCGGCTGGTCCTCAGCCTCCGCTAGATTGGAAATTTTCTCAGGTCTTCGGCGAGCGCACTGCTGGCGAAGAAGTACAAGAAGGTAAATAATCTGCTTAGTTAAATGGAAAAGTGAATTAAACTGCACACGTTGTGTTTAAATCTTGTGATTAGGGTCTGGTTATGTGAATTATATCTGTTTTCTGGATGACAATTAGTTGTGGAACTCCATTATGTATTAATTGTCTGAATGGATTTAGGTTAGGGATTTCAGCGAACTGTTGGTGAACTCAATTGAGTTAAATGTTCGTTTGATTTTAGTGTTCAAACTTCATTCCACGATTTGGTGTCCCAAAATTTTCTTATGCTTTAGCTTTTGATCTTTGTAACGGTGGCTGCAGTGTAATTGAAGATATATTCTGCTTTATGACTAGAATTTCAGTTTGTAGCAGAGTGATACCTATGTAGGCGCAGTGTTGCAAAGTCTAACCTGTGGGAAGGTTTGAAAATGCACGTGGTTTTAGTATACCTTGTCAATTTTTGGATCATGTTATACACTGGTGTTATAAAAGTTGGAGAGAGAAACATAACAATGTCGATGTCCATTTATAGAAGTTTGAGAGAGAAAAATGTGGATGTTTCTTAAATCTATTTCTCATGAATTGGAAAATTATCCCTTTTTGTCGGCTATTGTATTCATTGAACGTGTTGAGTAATTTACACTGCATCGTCCATGTAACTAATTTAGGTTTCAGCTGTACAACTTTATGTTACTTACACGTGTGTAGTTCATGTACTAGATGGAATGGAGCTATTGCACTTGAAGAAAGTGGGGAATAGTATAGAGTAGTGTAATCTTGCTGTGCTGTAGTGTTATACGACAACCTCGATGAACAATAATAGGGTAGTTTATCTGGGTGGTGTAATACCTTACAGAGAGGTTAACGCCTTTCTAAGTAACTCAAGTTATCTCTCCCAAGCAAAAATAGATGTGAGTTTTGGAAACCTTTATGGAATCATTCTAGCTTGGCACATATATAGACTGGCTCATTTAATGCTCTTGTTCTAAATTTGAAGGTTCAAACTTGAGTTAGATTTCCCAAGGATGAAATCTGAACATTGAAAGGTAGAAATAATGAACTCGAGATGCATGTTTTTATTTGTTCTTTCCTTTGAGTGCATTTCTGATCGACATTGAATCATATGGTATGACTAGTGTTGGAATCAGTGCATGTATTTATAATTTAATGTTAAAAACAAAGTTTATCCATATTTTAGAACTTATTGTCTTCTCTTTTAGTTATTATACAAAGAAGAACATCTTATAGTCGATGTTAACCTATGACACCAGGCCATGACTCCTGGTTGCGAATTACATTTATAACTTGGAACATGGAGCTAAAAAAATTATTTCTTTTTAATTTGCAGTTGATATTATCTCGGCTATTGAGTTTGATAAAACTGGTGACCACCTTGCTACCGGTGACCGTGGGGGAAGGGTTGTGTTATTTGAAAGAACTGATATGAAAGAGGTGTGGTTCCAAAATATTGAAGGAATTTATTTTATTGATACAGTCAGTCGTTTTTTTATATCATTTTGTGTTTTTAATTTAATTTGCAGCATGGTAGAAATCGAAGAGATTTGGAGAGAACAGACTACCCAGGTAGTCGACATCCAGAGTTTCGGTACAAAACTGAATTTCAAAGCCATGAACCTGAGGTATTTATTTTAACTTCTGCCTCCTCTCCTATCTTCTCCCTTTGGGTGCTACCCATGAGATTACACGTAATCGCTTCTGTGCTTTCTCATACTCCTCCTTGTCAAAGGGGCAAAAAGGGGAAATTTTGAATTGCTATAATGAGTGTATCTGTATTTTTTCGTTTCAGTTTGATTATCTCAAGAGTTTGGAAATCGAGGAGAAAATCAATAAGATCCGATGGTGTCAGACGGCTAATAGTGCCCTCTTTCTCCTGTCCACTAATGACAAAACCATTAAGTATTGGAAGGTGAAATCTTTAATTTCCACCATTTTATTTGGTCATCATTTATGGTTGTAAAACAGGACGAATAATTTAGTTGTTCTTAGTTCATCGTGACTTATTGTAGTAAAAGGGGACTTTCAGTGCCATCATGTGTATGGTATTCAACTCTTATATTTCTTTTGCAGTTTGGAAAAGATTTGATTCTCTTGTTTTTATGATCGAGGATTTAATAGTTTTCTTTTCCTTCAATATCTTTCTATGGATCCTTCCGTGTCAATCTTATCATACCAGGTGATGAGATTTGTTGTGCCCTTGTCTGCATCATCAAATTTATTCTTACTTTCAATGACTAATTGTTCAGATTCTTGTTTTAGGAGTTGGAGCATGTTTTGAATTTACATATGGGAGCAAAATATGTTGGTCTTGTATGTTTGGAAGTGCTTGAGATTCAAAGGATTTCCTTCTTTATCATAGTTTTTTTAGTGGAATGAAGTCCAACTGGATACATGTTACTATGTTGGCGCAAGCACATAATCAATCTGCTGGTTATATTAATAATTTTTTGTCACGTTGTCTTCCAACTGGTTCAGTTTTGAGATAGACAACAGTTAAATCATTGAATGTTGTAACTTAAGTCTTTGTTTTCAATTTTACAGGTCCAAGAGAAGAAAGTTAAGAAAATCTCAGAGATGAATGTTGATCCTTCCAAAGTTGCAGGAAATGGTAGTGTTGCCAATGCAAGTGTTTCTCCCAGTCCTAATCACAATCTTGCCAATGGGGGCTTTGTAGATCAATCTGACAACTGCTTGAGCAAAGACGCATCCTTTCCAGCCCCGGCTATTTCCTCACTACGATTACCAGTGGTAGTTGTACCTAATTATGCTCTACTATTCTGGTATCAATGGAGTATCTGTAGAATACATCGGCTTTTATTGTGTTCCACACATCTGAAGATTTATTTTCATAGTTTTTATTGGAATTTTTCTCCACTGTAAAACACATTATGCATAGCAACTGATCCTGGGTTAATCCTAGTTGTATGTTTACAAAGTGAAAAATCCTATAACTAGTCGTTTGAAATCCTTTGTTTAATCACTGAATTAATAAAAATAATTATGTTCACTACTAGTTGTTTTTCTGGGACTTGCTCGACGACAACTGTGTCCAAAAGTTTTTTTCGGCCTTCACTTGGAATGCCAAATATAGACATGTCCTTGGCGTCAATATTATATGCATGTATCTTCCATTTTCACTTTATTCAGACAGTTTCTTATAACTCCCGATTTATGCGATCTGTAGGTCACAAGCAATGAGACCAGTCTTGTCGCAAGATGTAGGAGAGTATATGCTCATGCGCATGACTACCATATCAATTCTATTTCAACTAATAGGTGAGGTTCTAAAGTTTTCAATTGTTAATGAATAATGAGTATTGACTTCTACATGTATCTTGACTTGGCAGTTCAGTTAATTTATTTGCCTCTTGCTATTTTCCAGCTCAAGCTAGAAAGCAAGTCTAATTTTAGTTCTTGCAATATGTTTAATAATTGAAAGCATTTTTTTTTTTGGTCCAATATTGGGTGGGTTAGTTCATTCATTTACGGTTGGGCAACAGCTGGACTGTGACCTCTGAGGCGTGAGTTGAGGAAATAAGCCTGAGCAAAGAAGTGTTTACTTGTTCCTTGGTTACTTTTCTTGACTTGAATGATGTGATGGCATTGACATGTGGTCACCTACATGCCTCCTTTTTCTCCGTGCTTGTCTGCCACCCTTCTTCCGTGTTAGGTGCTTCTTGTAGCAAAGCAGCATTTAGAGAAAAAAGAAAGTATACACATGGAACAGTGTGGTTTAGCGCCTTTTGCTGTCTCTTAGTGTTCCCTATTTTAGAAAGTGAAAATTATTCACTCTTCGGTGATTTTCTGTTGTTGAATTTGGTCATTTAGATGATATATACAATGTATATGTATAGTTATATGTAAAGTTGGAGCCTCCCAATTTCATATCTTATTTTGACAGTTAGTACACAGATACTTTGTTCACTTGATCTTGTTTTATCTTTTCATTATTTCTTGATTGATAAATGCAAACAGTATCTTGCAAGCACTGTCTGACTACATTTAATGAAGCCTCGAACTCTTAAAGTGCACAAATTTGTATAGTTATCACTGTATGCCTAGATTGTTATTATGTCTTCATCTGCAAGATATACTATATACTGTTGACCATGTTATCAAAAGAACTTCTGATTATGGCTGCAAGAAAGCCATATATTCTTTAATTATGGTAATCCAATCTATTTGATTTTAGTAATTAAAATATGTTTATAATGCTTTCCAGCGATGGTGAAACATTTATATCAGCTGATGATCTGCGAATAAATCTTTGGAACTTGGAAATAAGCAATCAAAGTTTCAATATTGTTGACGTTAAGCCAACAAATATGGAGGATCTAACTGGTAAGTCCTTTTTCTGTCTCGAACTTCTAGAGTACCTTTTCAATTACTAGTAGGCAAATTTCTCATCCCCTTAAAATGCTTGATCGTGATAAATCTTTTTGAGTGACGAGCACCAGAGGAATAGACCAGTAAACTTAAGTCATTAAGCCCCTGTTTGACAACCATTATAATTAGAAATTTGAGTAAAATGTATTTTGGAATAGTAGTTTTTGTGAGAATGTGTGGTTAAAAAATGAAGGAAAAGTTTTTGATTTACGTGTAATATTATTTTATTGAAAAATGTGTGGTTGAAAAGAAGAGAGAGAAAAATGTATTAAAATTTTAATGTGAACCAAACACGGGCTAAATCTTAGCTTTTGCCATTGTTCTTTATTTAATTATACTTGCTTATTTAAATAACCATATCACATCTCATAAAAACAAATGTATTAGTTTATTATACTATCCGAAGTGATGGAAATAGTCTAGGAGATCATTATGTTGCAACTTACTGTTCGTCACTTGATCGGCTACATCTGCTTATTACAGAGGTGATAACATCAGCAGAGTTTCATCCTACTCACTGTAACACATTAGCATACAGCAGCTCAAAAGGGTCAATTCGTCTTATCGATTTGCGGCAATCTGCATTGTGTGATTTACATTCTAAAATGTAAGTGTATTTGTAATTATATTTGTGTTCTGTTGTTTGTTGTCCACATAAAATTTGAACTTAATTAATAGTCCAGAATGGGAAGTCAAAAGTTGGTGGTATCCGGAATTCTAAGTCGTTTCGCTTTCTCCCAAAAAAAAAAAAAAAAGAAAGAAAAAAAAAATTGACCATGTTACTTTCTACTGCTCTTGTTATGTGGGATAATTGATTTTCATTCACATACAGATTTGAGGAACAGGAGGCACCTGGTTCAAGATCATTTTTCACTGAGATAATAGCTTCAATTTCAGATATCAAGTTTGCAAGAGATGGAAGACACATACTTAGTCGTGATTACATGACCCTTAAGGTGTTCAATCTTCTATAGTTTATTTTCTCAGTTCGATCTGTATTTTGGATTTAATGCTGTAATCTTCTCTCGATGATTATGTTTTGTCATTTGGACATGCTTGGTTTTGCTTCCTGCTGGGTTTATGTGAACAATGACAGTTATGGAAACTAGTTGTCTACAGTTAGGCATTCATTAAGTTTAATTTAGAATTGCAAATGTATGGGGATCTCAATCATGGTTCTAAAGACATAAAAGAATCTAGCAGAAATACTTAGTACGGAATATTTTACTTCTTGGCTATAGTCCATAGCTTCTTGCTGCAGAAGAAGATTAGTAGATCAAATTCTTTGGAGTACTCACCTATTCTTTGTATTCGTTTTTCTGTATGGTTTCAGTTTTTGTCTGTCACTTACCAATCTGTCTTGGTTTCAGTTATGGGATGTTAATATGGATTCTGGTCCAGTGGCTACC